GGGGGTGTCTGAAGAAGAACCAAACATCTTGCCCCCCGCCATCCCCCTTACCCCTTGTACACTCCACATAGCATGCTTGGTGAGGAAGCCATCCTATCAGGTTTTCTGTTCAGGGTGTAAACAGGAGGTTTAAGGTCCAGGTACGATTAGATCTTCTTTGGGGTTATGAAGGGATGTGTAGATGTTAACCTGATTTTGGGAAAAACCTTAAACCCTGAACCCCAAGCCCCACAACTAAAATTAAACAAAAAAAAACACAAACAAACAGAAGCCCTGCATACCCAGCCCCAACTCCGGGACTCGGGCATTTCTCCGGGTTCAGCCTTGGCTCCAAGTTTAGTTACTGTTCCCTGTACAGGGGTTTGGGGTTTAGGGTTTAAGGGTTTTGGGTTTAAGGGTTTAATGGTTTAGGGTTTAGGGTTTAGGGGTTAGGGTCTAGGGTTTAGGGGTTAAGGTTTAGGATTTAGGGGTTAAGGTTTAGGTCATACATAGAAATGGAAAAGAAGATGGAAAAGTACAATATCATATTAGGGTTAGATTGGGGTTATTATAGGGAGAAAGGAAGAGACCAGGGAAACTACAATTTGGGGTATAGGCAGTTTAGGGTTTTGAACCAAGAACAGAGAATCAAAGGAAACAGCAAGTCAAAAAAAGAATGGAGACTGGGTTTACGCATGGGTTTATATTATACGGAGTAAGTAATGTAGGGACCTGAACCCTTTTAAGGGACCTACGTTTCCATTTAATTTTCCCTTTTCTGTTCCACTTGCCTTTCCAGCATTGGGGTGCTGTGCAAAAGCCCTATGTAAACCATGTATGGCCTATGTAAGAGACTTAGGGTTTCCACTTCATGTTCTATGTTCTTTTGCAATTTGATTTTCCGATATTGGTGTATGGTTGTAGGGTTGAGGATGTCAGGTGTGGTGCATAGCGTTAGAGGCTTCAGGTTTAGGGTTTTGGGTGCGGGTTTAAGGTGTAGAGCTTTAGGTTTTTTCAGGCCTAAGATTTAGCATGTGGGGTTGGGGGTGTAGGCTCAGGGCTTAGGGCTTTGGGTTTCGGGCATAGGGTTGAGGGTTGAAAGCTCAGGGTTTTGGGGGTGTAGGGGTTTGGTTGGTGATCTGGGTTGTGAGGCGTCAGGTGTAAGGCTGAGGCCGAAAATTTGCCAGAAGTCGGATCTCCGGATAGTTTTTCTCCCCCACACACAGCAGTAACAGCAACATATACCCAAGAGTCTACACACTGCGCCCTCCGTCGTTTACAGTGCCCTGAGATATTCGAAAAACTGCAGTAACCTGATAGATCAGAACCAGCTGCACTGGAAAGCCATATTCTATCTACTTAAGGGGACTATACATCCTTGACATGCCACCTACCTGGAGTGCCCCTTGGAGTACTTTGACATAATTAATTAACATGAACCAAAAACAAGAAATGTCACGATGTTGAGCAATCACCCTAAACCCCAAATACCTTGAGCATCAGCCTGCTCAAAAAAAAATGGAACACGAGAAAGCCCCATGAAAAACGGACCGTAGCCCTGACAGGGTCCCTCTGGGGTTTCCATGTTTGCTTAGGGGATGGAAAAGCCCTACGCCCTAAATCATGAAGCTCCACATACCTATATATGCATAGCACATACAGATACATCCATGTATAGTCCTACTTAGCCCCTAGATATCCTGAAGGTCTAGAAATTTCCTGGATAACCTCATGGATCCTTGTGGAAAACCCTAAGCCCTAAACCTAAACCCTAAACCCTAAACCCTAGACCCTAAACCCTAACCCCTAAACCCTTACAATGTCTTTATAACCGCCCAGTCGCTGTTTTTAAGCCGAAACCGGGAGATTGCGCGCGGAAGACTTGGAGCCGATACGTCGCTGCTCCACAAGGGTTGAGGGTTGAGGGCTTAGGGTGGAGGATTTAGGATTTTGGGTTTAGGTTTTAGGGTTTAGGGGTTAGGGTTTAGGGTTTAGGGTTTAGGGTTTAGGGTTCAGGGTGTAGGGCTCAGAGTGGAGGATCTAAGGGTGGTAGATTGAGGGTTAACAGACTGAGGGTTCGGGTTGACTGCTTAGGGTTGAGGGCGAAGGATTTTGGGCCTATGCCCAAGGGTCGAGAGTTTAGAACTTCGAGAGTAGGGTTGAAGTTTAGGGATTCTGAGGTTTAGGGTTTAGGGTTTAGGGCTTAGGGCTTGAGGCTTGACACTCAGACCCGGGACCCTCAAGCCTTTGCGGTGGATGTTTAAACCTTATTTGGGTGCTGTTCGGGAATTTAATTTGAATAACTGTATTGGGGGAAAACCCTAGTACTTACCATATGTCCATTACGGTAACTTAATGTAAGTTCCTCAACAGCAACCCAGTTAAAGCCATCCCTACACGCTCACACCGAAATCCTTTAGCCTCAAACCCAAATAACTCCAAACCCTTCTTTAGGGTTTAGGGCTTGGGGGGTTCGGTGTAGGGCGTAGGGTTAACCCACAACCCCGAAAGCTCACCACATCCAGAAAAGGGTCCTTAATCTGCAAGGTCAACAGAAAAGAAGTTTTAGGGTTCAGGGTGTTTTCGAGATCTAAGGAATGGGAGTGCTGCTTACAGTTGAGGAATGGGGCTCTGGATTTAAGGCTTGCGGTCTAGAGATCGGGGATCGGACACATGAAACCTTCCAAAAAACAATTCTTGTGGCCAATAGAAAGCTTCATGTTCTAGATGCCCATCTTCCGGATGACTCATAGGATTCGTGCTCTCACTGTAGATAGGGAAAAAACTTTTCCTTTTTGGGCTGCAGATGTCTGGTGCAAGGTTGAAATGTCTAGGATGTGGAGGAGGGTGTAAGGGAGGGGGGTTATGGGCGCCTTAGTCAGGACAAGATAGAGGATCAGGGATAGTTAAAGGCTAGTTGAGGCTTGTTTGGTCCCTATTCAGGTACCCCGCGCACCATAAATCAAGGGATTCAGCAGGTAAGTCGGGATCATTTACGCTGTACCAGAAAGGGCCTACACTACACTACTGCACCATGCAACACGACAAACCTCTGCCGCAGTAGCCGCTACATCCAGCAAAAAATGCATTCTGAAAGTGCATTACCTCCCTACAGTAGCAGTGACCACGAGAGGTAACAGGACATATAAGAACCGCTTAAGGGAACCCTTTTCGGCGCCTTACTGCAAGGGGGAATCACCCGATCTATAAACTTCGAGGGCAACAAAAGGCTGAGAGCACTGTTTTTTTTGGCACAGAACCCCTAACCCGCCTAACTAAAAACATTCATCTAAGAAACATGGCACTAGATTGAGGTGGGAACCCTTAATCCTAATTAACGAGCTTGGGATTTCAAAGCAGGGGTAAGAAAGTCCCCCGAAACACTAAACTAAACGTAAAGACCCCACACCAGTCCTCAAGCGACTTCCAAACCATGTTTCAGTAGGTTACGGACAGGGGCGCTGCGCATTAGCTTAGCTGAACAACGAGAGGGGTGAAATTGTCACGACACTAGGAAGCAATGGGAGGATGCAATCTGATAAAAAAAATGTGAATAGCTGTCGTTAGAGGATGTCTTTCGCTTGACTCATAGAGAGTTGGGATGAGGGATGAAAGCAATCATGATGGTGCTCGTCAAAACCCTAAACCCTAGCCCCATGACTTGTAGGTTCCAAGCTGTGAACCTGCATGCAACACCCCAAACAGAAAACTTGAACCACAAGCCCAGAACCCGAAACCCAGAGCCTGAACCTCAAACACAAACACTGAAGCCCACAAACCCAACTCTAAAGTCAAAAGCTTGAAGTCCTGAACTCTAAGCTCCACACCTACACATCTAAACCCTCAGCCATGAACCCTGCACGTGGAATCTTGAACCCTCTACCTTGCACCCTAACCTAAGCCATACAGCCCCAAAACCTTACCCTGAACCCTAAACCCTGAATTCCTGAACCAGCCGGCGCCCGGGCGCTTCTGCTTTGCAGCCTTAGCCCGAGCCCGAACCTCAACAGGCAGTCTGAGGTTGTTTACAGAAGTAGCCCTGTATATGTATATATATATATGGGGCTACATAGGGTTGAGTGTGTAGGGTTAAGGATTGTAGGCTGAAGCCTTAGCATTGGGATGCGGGATGAGAAACGTGGTAGTTTCCCATAAACAGGGGAACCCCAACGTGGACCCCGAAATACCAAAATCCTGATGATAGGGATTCCAAAACGGGTCCCTAAGAAATCAAGATACTCTCAGGTTTTGTTGTGCGTGTGTTCCTGCGGCGTTTTTTTTTGTAAGTGTGGGTCGTTCCTAATGAGAAGTCAACATTATCTACTATTCTGCTGTACCTCACCCTAAACCCTAAACCCTAAACCCTCAACCCTCAACCCTAAACCCTAAACCCTAATTCCTGTGTTGGCACTCAAGTCAG